AATTTAGAATAGTCAACGATTCCATGAAATGGCAAGGCAGCCATTGAAAAAAAAATACCGCAAAAATACTCGCCCAGGTAAGGACATTTAGTAACAGCTGCTAAAATAGTTGACCTGTTTATCTCGCTGCGACATTGTTTAAAGATGCCATTGACACTCAAGCCTTAGCACCAATTTGCTTCACCCAAATGGCGGAACAATGACAATGCACTTCATTCAAGCACATTTAAGTGTTGCAAAACAAAAGACTTAAGCGACATACTCTTGAATGATCTTCAAAAACGAAATTTCAATACACCTTTTGAAACACTCACAACAATTCACGGGTTTTCAATGAATGCCAAACATCTTTAAACATCAATTGAATGAATTTTAAATTTGAATTTCATGGTTTCCATGAAATGGTAGGGTGGTCATAATGGTGGTCATTGAGAAAAAATTGCAAACGCATTTGAAACAGGTAAGTAAAGCATTTTAGTAACAGCTGCTTAAATAGTCAGTCTTTTAATCTAGGTACTAAATTGAGGAGATTTTAGTGAAGGCATGATGCCTTTTACAAAGTATTCTGGACAGATTTTTAACTTGAAATTTAAATGCATAAAATCTGAATTGCAATTCCTCTTACTTTGGCCATTGGCTCCATGGGTTTTATATCAGCGTTAAAATACAGGGTGAGATAAAAAAGAAACTGCAACAAAGTCTAACGCCATAATTTTTTAAATTTTATTGAATGAAAGCAGAAAATGCCGGAACCAGCATCGAATTTTAGAATAAGCTTAGATTTGTTCGACTTGGTCACCTTTGGCACAAATTATGGCCTTGAAACGGCCAATGAAACCGTCACAGGCTGAACGAATGTTGCTCTGCGGTATTTTGGCCAATTCTCGCCGAAGCCCTTGCTTGAGGTGATCGACACTTTGGTATTTTTTAGTGCCAACTTTGCTTTCCCAAATACTCCAGACAAAATAGCCCAACGGATTGTATCCGGAGATTTTGGTGGCCATTGTGCGCTGGAAATGAAGCGAGGAACCTCATTTTGTACCCATTCTGGCGCGTGCCGAGGTCTGCGGCCAAAATGTTTGCGTGCCCAAGGCTTTAATACACCCTCCAGAATATTTTCGCGATAATATTTGCCATATTTGCTGATGCCACGGTCGATTAATACGAGCGGACGGCCCTCACCATCACCATGTCGGCGCTTGTTGAGTGCGATGTGCTGAGTCCTGCGATAATATTCGGCACTTATTCTGATGCCACTGTCGATTAATGCGAGCTGAGAGCGACCATCGGCTTTTATGGGGGCCCGCACCAGCACCATGGCTTAAGTTACAATCCTTTGCTTGTTTGTTTACAAACTGCTGGACAACGAATGTTTTCTCATCGGAGATCAGATAAAACCAAATTCGACAGTTCACCACCTTCGGCCAAGCGAAGCAACTCTTAAGCTGTTTTGGTTCTATTTTCTTTCTGTTGCGGTGTAAGTTCTTGCACTTTTTGGAATTTCAATGGATTTACCCCGAGCTCATTTTTCAATATTTGCCGAATGAAATATTGCGATATGTTCAGCTCACGTGCCCAGGCTTTAATACACCCTCCAGAATATTTTCGCGATAATATTTGGCATTTATTCTGATGACACGGTCGATTAATACAAGCGGAGAACAATAATCGGCTGTTATGGAGGCCCACTCCATCACCGTGGCTTGAGTTCTGGTGGCCAACCGAAGGTGCACATTTTCAGCTGATCTCTTTGGCAAGTAAACACGATCATTTTGTTTGTTTACAAACTGCTGGACAACGAATGTTTTCTCATCTGAGATCAGAGAAAACCAAATTCGACAGTTCACCACTTTCGGTCAAGCGAAGCAACTCTTTAGCACTTTTTAGTCTATTTTCTTTCTGTTGCGGTGTAAATTCGTTTTGGAATTTCAATGGTTTTACCCCGAACTTATTTTTCAAATATTTGCCGAATGGAATATTGCGATATGTTCAGCTCACGAGCCATTTTTCGGTCACTGCGACGCGGGTTTCAATCAAGTCGCATCTTTACTTTTCGAATCATTTCTGCTGATGTTGCTGTTTTCTTCCCGTCCACTTCCTCGACGTCGAGCTACCCTACCAAAATCACGGTATTGAGCGATGTTACGATACACCAAAAATTTATTCACATTTAAATGCTGGAGTGCTCTAACGATGGTCACTTCTGGTTTTCCAGCCAAAAATAAGGAAATCACACTATCACTCTTAAATTCCTTCACGAATAACTTTTTTCAGGAAAATTATCACCAAAATGATTTTGCACGCTTGTAAACGATATAATGAGCTGTTACTGGAATAATTTTGACAGCTGTCGGACGAGTGGCTTAGAAATGACAGCAGTTTGAAGTTGCAGTTTTTACATCTCACCCTGTATAAGATATCTGGCATATATTGGAGCTATAGCTATATCTGAATCAATTTTCTCCGTATTTTATGTACTTGCTTCTAGACTGTATTCGATCGGATGTGCCAAAATTCAGGTCATTGGAATTGATATTGGCCATTTGGTGCTCAATGAGCCCGAAATCGGTTGAAGATATATATGGAAGCTATATCCAAATCTGAACCGATCTTGAAAAAATTTTAGGTACTTATTTCTGAGCTGTATCTGATATCTGACAATAAAGATCATTGTTGTGGAGTACATATTACGCAGGTGAGCGACTTTAAACCGCAAATCGGGTGAAACATATATATATGGAAGCTATAGCTATATCTGAACCGATTTTCTCAAAATTTGATGTACTTGCTTCTCGGGGATGTATCAAAATTAAGAACTTTTGGACTGATATTGGCCATTTGGTGCGTATTTAACCCAAAATCGGTTGATGATATATGGGACCTATATCTAAATCTGATCCTAGTATCAGCAATTTCAATAGGGTTCGTCCTTGGGCCAAATAAATTTTGTTTTTAAAATTTAATTTCAATCGGATAATAAGTGCGACCTGTATTTTGTTCTCAAAAATACATAGACGGACAACAGACGAACGGATAGACTGACGGGCTGGTAGGCATAAATCGACTCAGAAAGTGATTCTGTGAAGATCCTCAAAAGTAACTATGGGTCTATCTCGCTACCTTCTCCCTGTTATAAACAAATGCTCAAAGACATAATACCCTTACCACTATTTGGTGTAGGGTATAATAACCTGGATGAAGAGTTTAAAAAAAAAAATTAAAAAAAACCTATAAAAAAGTTGAGAACAAAAAAGACCTAAAAATTATTTAAAAATTTGGCCTTGAAGAGGAACTTGAAAAAGTCTGTTAGAATCAATGCTAATAAAATTCTGCAATAATTCAGGGTGAAATTAAAATAAAGTGGGTCTGAAAAATATATATACAAAAAATTAGCAGGTTAAAGAGTTCTAAAAGGAACTCTAAAAATTCTGTAAAAAATATAGTTGGAGGCAAAGTAAAGAAGGCGTAAAAAATTCTTAGAAAATCTGGGTCTTGAAAAATTCTGTGTAAGTTACATTATAGTCTTATATGGGAGGTTTAAAAAAACTGCAAGAATTAAAGATGAATATAAATTATGGGAGACTTGAAAAATTCTTTAAAAATCTGCTTGAAGGCTGCTAGAATAGGCTTGAAAAGATCTGTGATAAAAATGGGATTGAAAAAAAAACGCAGACTAAAGTCAGCTAAAAACTTAAAGCATTCTATTACGATAAATTTGAAGGCAAGGTAAGTAGTGTAAAAAAATCTTTATAAATTAGCCTCTAACGGAACCTTAAAAAATTATGAGACAATTAAATTGGAGGCTTCTGGAGGAGGATTATGAAATTTTGCAATAATTCAGGGTAAAGGTAAAATATGGGAAACTTGAAAAATTCTTTAAGGCTCCTAGAGTAGGCTTTAAAAATTCTACAAAAAAAAGTTGAAAGCTTCTGAAGATTTGAAAATTTGTACAAAAATTCGGAATGAAGGTTTCTAGAGGGGGCTTCAAAAAAAAGTCGGTGGAAGGAAAAGCAACGGAGAGTTGGGTCTAAAGGAAACTTGAAAATTTCTGTGCAAAATCAGGTTGAAGGCTTCTAGAGGAGGCTTATAAAAAACTGCACGAATTCAGTTTGAAGTCAAAATATTGGAGACTGAAAATTTGTATAAAAATTTGGGTGAAAAAATCTGGAAAATTTCTCAAGGAGGCTAGAAAATATTTACAAAAGTTCTAGAAGGAGGATGTAAAGCAGGCTTTAAAAATAAAATTCCTAAAATAATATAGGCTAAGTGAAGCTAGTATAATTCTACTTATTTCTAGAGAAGGCTGATAAAAATCTGCAGTTCGAAGTCAAAATATTGGAGACTGAAAATTTGTATAAACATTTGGTTAAAAAAATACGAAAAATCTCTCAAGGAGGCTAGAAAATATTTATAAAAAAAATACAAGAAGGAGGAGGTTGAGGAAGCTTTAAAAATAAAATTCTTAAAATAATATAGGCTAAGAGAAGCTAGTATAATTCCTAAAAAATATATTAAAAAAAAACATAAATTTTGAAAAAAGTCTTTAAAAAAATCTCACGAATCTCCAATTTGTTGCCGCATCGATTATTTAATTAAATCCAAGGTGTCAGAGAATAAAATGAAGCAATTGATCTAGGTGTTGAAGGACAATTACGAAAATTAAATGTTGGGTAGTTGGTGAGTAATTTTAAAATTAATTGCTTAATTGGTGGAGGTGATTTTTTTGCATTTGTCAGGCCAGGACAGCGCTTGAAGGTGGGTCAATTATGTGAATATGTGTATGTGCCTTTACCGACAGCTTCGTAACCCATAAGACTTCAATATTAAATGGAGCTTAAACCAAGGAGAAAATTATAGCGACAAGGATTACAGACATTCACCCATCAATGCCTTTTCAGGAATTATCCTCGATAATTGTCTGCAATTAATGGGGGAAATTTTAAATGTCGGGACCTTAACTTAACACCTACTTGTGCGTCTTTATCAGTCCCCATCCGAACTCCCGGCAACGTCCACATCATGGCGAAAACACACACGGAGCGTTTGTTGAAAATTGTTCGCATTACAAAATTCTGCTCCGACATTTGTGGTGTGAATATCTACGAAGACGATTATCGGATTAATTATCGCACCTTTTTTGTCATTGCTGTTATTGGAACGTCGTTCAGCTTTCTCAGCTATACCATGTATGATGGCTATGGCAAGGAAGGCGATTGGACGATTTTGGTCCAGGTCATATCATTGGCTGGGGGTACGCTTTTGCAAGTAAGAGTACAGCAGTGGTAGAAAGTGGATGCAGAGTCATTTTAAATTCCCTTTCATTTAGGGCTTTTTCGTCCTGATCCTTTTCCTGACCAAACAGGAGAAATATCGTTTCCTGCTCAAGGAGTGCATTATCCTGTATGAGAAATACGAAAAAATGGATTCCGATTATCGTGTGTATCTGAACAAGGGCATACATCTGTTGGCCAACTTTATGAAGGTGTGCGCCTTCATTAATTTTATGTTGGTCCTGGGCATGACTTTTGTGACCATCTTTTATAATCTGATATTTGGTACAAATGAGACCCTCGTCTATGGCTATTGTCCATGGGTGAGCCTTGAGACTACGGGGGGCCTGTGGACCACAAATATGGTCCAGGCCTTGTTGATTGCTGTGGGAGGATTTGGTTTGTATTCGGGTGATATGTCGGTGCTGACACCGATCTCTCAGATACCCACTTTCAAGGGGATAATTCAATGTAAATTTCGTGAGCTGAATGATCTGCTGGATGATGACCATGAAAGTGAGATGGCAAAGAAAATTAAGACCCTGGCGGCCCTAAAGGATATTCTGCAATTTCATCAGACATATTTGAGGTAGGGGAGAGAAATTTCAATTTTGGTAAAGAAATATAATTTTTTCCCAGATTCCTTGATGTCAGCCGCGAGGCTGTCTACTGGAGTGTTTTCGTCAAGGTGGGCACTTGCTTTATAGGCATTGCCTTCGCCTTGTTTTGCATACTTTTGGGCTCCTGGCCAGCTGGATATATTTACATGCTTTACTGCTTTGTCATGATGCAGGTTTTTTGTGGCATGGGTACACTGGTGGACATAACTGTAAGTTAGAATTTTTTTCAATTTTTATTTTTTCTAATTTTCATTCTGCGTCCTTAGAACGAAGAATTCATCCATTCCTGCTACAATGATGTTCGCTGGTATGACCTAACCATTTCGGAAAAGAAAATGTTGAACATTATGTTGATGATGGCCCAGAATACGGAAGGTCTGACCATTGCCTCGATAATGCCGCTCTCGATGAACACTGGCCTGCAGGTGACCAAGACTATTTACTCGTTGACCATGTTGTTGCTGACATTTGTTAATTGAATGAATGTTTATATGTTTTTAAAATTTTCAATATTAAATTTCTTTGAAAAATTTGCACTTGATTTTGAGTAGTGCGACGCACCAAATACGTTTTTTGAATGAAATATAGTTTGATAAAAAAATCCCCAGTTGGGGACACAAATTATGGCTCTAAAAACACAAAAGGGAAAGCCTTGTGTTTTTGTTTTTTTAAGAATATCTCAAGTCTCTCCCTTCAGAAGGAATCTATTGGAGGTTTGAAGATTCTTAAGAATTTTCAAGGATCATCAGACCAATAAACCTAGATTTTTTAAAGAATTTTCTAAAAGCACCATCAGACCAATAAACATTGATTTTTTAAAGAATTTCTTTCAAGGACAAACAGACCAATAAACGTGGATTTTTTAAAGAATTTTTTTCAAGGACCTTCAGACCAATAAACGTTAATTTTTTAAAGAATTTTCTCGAAGGACCTTCAGACCAATAGACGTGGATTTTTTAAAGAATTTTTTCCCAGGACTGTCAGACCAATAAACGTGGATTTTTTAAATAATTGTTTCCCAGGACTGTCAGACCAATAAACGTGGATTTTTTAAAGAATTTTTGCCAAGGACCTTCAGACCAATAAACTTGGATTTTTTAAAGAATTTTTGCCAAGGACCTTCAGACTAATAAACGCGGATTTTTTAAAGAATTTTTCCCAGAATATCAGACCAATAAACGTGGATTTTTAAAGAATTTTTTTCAAGGACCATCAGACCAATAAACATGGATTTTTTAAAGAATTTTTGCCAAGGACCTTCAGACTAATAAACGCGGATTTTTTAAAGAATTTTTCCCAGAATATCAGACCAATAAACGTGGATTTTTAAAGAATTTTTTTCAAGGACCTTCAGACCAATAAACGTGGATTTTTTAAAGAATTAGTTTGAAGGACCTTCAGACCAATAAACGTGGATTTTTTAAAGAATTTTTTTCAAGGACCATCAGACCAATAAACATGGATTTTTTAAAGAATTTTTGCCAAGAACCTTCAGACCAATAAACGTGGATTTTTTAAAGAATTAGTTTGAAGGACCTTTAGACCAACAAACGTGAACTTTTTAAAGAATTTTTTCCAAGGACCAAGGACCATTTTTAAAGATTTTTTTCAAGGACCATCAGACCAATAAACGTGGATTTTTTAAAGCATTTTTTCCAAGGACCTTCAGACCGATAAACGTGGATTTTTTAAAGAATTTTTTCCAAGGACCTTCAGACCAATAAACGTGGATTTTTTAAAGAATTTTTTCCAAGGACCTTCAGACCAATAAACGTGGATTTTTTAAAGAATTTTTTCCAAGGACCTCCAGACCAATAAACGTGGATTTTTTAAAGAATTTTTTCGAAGGACCTTCAGATCAATAAACGTGGATTTTTTAAAGATTTTTTTCCAAGGACCTCCAGACCAATAGACGTGGATTTTTTAAAGAATTTTTTCCCAGGACTGTCAGACCAATAAACGTGGATTTTTTAAATAATTGTTTCCCAGGACTGTCAGACCAATAAACGTGGATTTTTTAAAGAATTTTTGCCAAGGACCTTCAGACCAATAAACTTGGATTTTTTAAAGAATTTTTGCCAAGGACCTTCAGACTAATAAACGCGGATTTTTTAAAGAATTTTTTCCCAGAATATCAGACCAATAAACGTGGATTTTTAAAGAATTTTTTCCAAGGACCTTCAGACCAATAAACGTGGATTTTTTAAAGAATTTTTTCCAAGGACCTTCAGATCAATAAACGTGGATTTTTTAAATAATTGTTCCCCAGGACTATCAGACAATTAAACGTGGATTTTTTAAAGGACAATAACCCACAATACTTATATTTTTAAAGAATTTTTTTTCAAGAACCTTCCTAGGTATCCCAATTTTTACAGAACCATTGAATCACGAAACTTTTTGAAGGACCATAAGATTTGTAAGTTTTATTCACGGACCATCAAACCAATAAATGTTGATTTTTTTAAGGAAAATTTAAGTTAAAGGCTTTTTTGGGGTTGGTTTGTAAATTTCCGAAAAAAAACGGCTTAACAAGTCTTGAAAAATTGTCCATGAAAAATTACAGAATTGAGACTGAAAAAATCTTAAAATAATTCAAGTAGAAGAGGTTCTAAAATCTAAAATCTGTAAAAAAAATGTTTAAATGAGGCTTGAGAATGTTCGTGAAAAATTATTAAATTGAGGTCTAAGAAATTCTAAAAATAGGGTAAATCGTAAAACAAAGATTTAAAATTAGGTAAGAAGCTCCTCCGTGGAGGTGGCTTGTAAATTTCTGCTAAAATCTGGTTAAAGAAGTCTTGAAAATATCCGTGCAAAATTATTGAATACAGGCTTAGAAAATTCTTAAAATAATCCAGGTAGATAAGATACCTAAAAAAAGACTTAATTATTGAAAGCCTCCTCCTGAAAAGCCTTCTCCTTGGAGTTGGTTTGTAAATTTCTGTAAAAAAAACCATTGAAATAATCCAGAGAGTTTCTAAAAAAATGTAAAAAATAAGTAGAAAGCTCTTAGAAGAGGCTTTAAAATTTCGGTAAAAAGAGGTTGCCTGTGAATTTCTGAAATATTAGTATAATAGCAAATTAAAAAAAAAATCACAAAACAAAAATTCTCTATTAAAGTGGCTTTAATAATTAAAAATGCAGTAAGTACGGCAGGGCCGATATATGAATACCCTTTACCATTTGGGAGGAATTTGGAAATTAAAAAATAAAATAAATCCGTTAAAAATTTTGTTAAAATCTTAATAATATCGAATGTAGCAGTTATATTGGGGTCTATACGAAGACATGGACCTGCATAGGCAATTTTTGTCATAAGCCATTACAATATTCAAATACGAAATTTAAAAAAAAATGGCTAATATCATCATAATACCAAATATCGGGAGGTACCATTATATGGGGCCTATACGAAGACGTAGACCTGCACAGACAATTTTCTGTCTTAGGCTGTAGTATCCTTTACGAACTTCGAATACCAAACTTGGGAAATTTCCGGGGATTTATGTCGCTTAAATCACCAAAATACCGAATATCGGGAGGTACCGTTATATGGGGCCTATACGAAGACGTGGACCTGCACATACAATCTCCTGTCATAGGCTATAGCGTCCATTACGAACATATAATACCAAACTTGGAAAATTTCCTGTGATTAATGTCGCTTAAATTACCAAAATACCGAATATCGGGAGGTTCCGCTATATGGGGGCTATACGAAGACGTGGGCCTGCACTGACAATTTTTTGTCTTAGGATGTATTATCCATTACGAACTTTGAATACCGAATTTAAAAAAAATTCCGGTGAATAATGTCGCTTAAATCACCAAAATACCGAAAAAGGGAGGTACCGTTATATGGGGGCTATACGAAGACGTAGACCTGCACAGGCAATTTTCTGCCTTTGGTTGTAGCATCCACTACGAACCTTAAATATCAAATTTGAAAGCATTCCGGTTAATAATGTCGCTAAAATCATCAAAATATCGAATATCGGGAGGTACCGATATATGGGGGCTATACCAAAACGTGGACCTACATGACCCATTTTCAATAGCAAAATTTCTGCAGACATAATACATATTTGAGTAAAATTTTATCAACCTACTTCATTTCGTTTGGCAGCTAGAGTGATTTCCACAGACGGAAGGACATCGCTAAATCGACATAGAATTTTATGCTGGGGTCTAAAATGTACATTTCGAGCTGTTACGGAATGACAAACTTAATATACCCTCCACAGTATGGTGGAGGGTATGAAAAACATATAATTTATGGATATTTTATTTATTATTAAATTAAATCCCAATGTGTCAAAGCATTAAATGAAGCAATCGATCTAAGAGGTGAAAGATAATTAAAGCAATTAAAGGCTGGGCAGTTGGTGAGTGTTTGCGTAATTAGCGAAGGTGACTTTCTTGCATGTTGTCATGGCAGGATATCAGGTCAATCGTCTAAATGTGTGTATATCTATATCGACATGCTGGGAACTCTTGAGACTTGAATATTCAATGGAACTTCATGAGAAAAGGGTTTTGGCGGCCCCAACGCTCGCACCCCTTAAGAAAAATTATCCCTGCAGCAATGTATGGCAATTATATGCAATTAATCTGAGAAATTTTGAAATTGAAAAAAGTTATGGGAACTGCTTGTGTGTGTCTTTTTTAGTCTCCATCCGAACTTCTAGCAACGTCCACATCATGGCGAAAAAACACTCGGAAAGTTTGTTGAAAATTGTACGGATAACGAAATTCTGTGCCGACATTTGTGGTTTGAATATCTATGCCGATGATTATCGAATTAATTATCGAACAATTTTTGTTGTTCTAATAATTGGATCCTCGTTTACATTTCTCACCTACACCATGTACGATGGCTATGGCAAGGAGGGTGATTGGACGATTTTGGTTCAGGTCATATCCTTGGCGGGGGGTACACTTTTGCAAGTAAGAGGACAAGTGGTAGAACGTAGAGGCTGAGTCATTTTAAATTCCCTTTCATTTAGGGCTTTTTCGTCCTGATCCTTTTCCTGACCAAACAGGATAAATATCGTTTCCTGCTCAAGGAGTGCATTATTCTGTATGAGAAATACGAAAAATGGATTCCGATTATCGTGTGTACTTGAGCAAGGGCATTCAGCTGTTGGCCAACTTTATGAAGGTCTGTGCCTTTATCAATTTTATGTTGGTCCTCGGCATGACCTTTGTGACAATTATTTATAATCTGATATTTGGTACAAATGAGACCCTGGTCTACGGCTATTGCCCATGGGTGAGTATTGAGACTACGGGGGGCCTGTGGGCCACAAATATGGTCCAGTCATTGATGATTGCTGTGGGGGGATTTGGTTTGTATTCGGGTGATATGTCAGTGCTGACACCGATATCTCAGATACCAACTTTCAAAGGGATAATTCAGTGTAAATTTCGAGAGCTGAATAATCTACTGGATGATGACTACGATAGCAAGCTGGAAAAGGAAAGCAAGACTCTGGCGGCCTTAAAGGATATTCTGCAATTTCATCAGCTATATTTGAGGTGAGAGGGAGAGGAGGAAATGTTAGAATCCAAATTTTTTGTAAAAAAATTATAATTTTTTTCCAGATTCCTTGATGTCAGCCGCGAGGCCGTCTACTGGAGTGTTTTCGTCAAGGTGGGCACCTGCTTTATAGGCATTGCCTTTGCTTTGTTTTGCATGCTGCTGGGCTCCTGGCCAGCTGGATATATTTACATGCTTTACTGCTTTGTCATGATGCAGGTTTTTTGTGGCATGGGTACACTGGTGGACATAACTGTAAGTTAGAGTTTTTTTTTAATTTTTATTTTTTCTAATTTTCTTTCTGCGCCCTTAGAACGAAGAATTCATCCATTCCTGCTACAATGATGTTCGCTGGTATGACTTAACCATTTCGGAAAAGAAAATGTTGAACATTATGTTGATGATGGCCCAGAATACGGAAGGTCTGACCATTGCCTCGATAATGCCACTTTCGATGAACACTGGCCTCCAGGTGACCAAGACCATTTACTCGCTGACCATGTTGCTGCTGACATTTGTTAATTGAATTCAGATTTATATGTTTTTATACCCTACAACACTACGTGTTGGGGGTATTATAAGTTTGATTGGGCCAGAATTTATGTAACACCTCGAAATATTGGTTTCCCATATAGGAAAGTATATATGGATCTTCCTAGCTCGCCGAGCTGAGTCGATCTAGCTATGTATGTCCGTCCGTCCGTCTGTCCGTCTGTCCGTCTGTCCGTCTGTCCGTCTGTCCATGTTAATTTGTAATCACTCTATAGGTCGCAATTATGGTCCGATCTTCACGAAATTTAAAATGGAGGTGGGGCTAGGGTCAGAATAGAACCCTATTTCTTTTGGAGATGATCGCCAAATGTTTAGGGGTTGAAATGGACCAAATACTGAAAAAATGTCGGATTTTGCAGAAGCTATACAGGTCGCAATTATAGACCAATAGACGCGGAATTTCGCATGTAGCTGGAGTTTAGGGAGGGGAAGAAGCCTACCAATTTGGGTGGTCATCGGATAATATTTAGCGGGTAAAATAGACCATATCTTTTGTATTGAAAAAATTCAAAATTTTTCATCAAACCGCGAATATTTTAAATCCCGGCGAAATCATAAAGCCATGACAAGGTTACTTCTGATCTTTACATTGATGTTAACATCCAACAAATCGGATATATAGCAAAATATGTGCGATATATATGTCTATCGAAAAAGATATGCTTGAAAGATCTCTTATATGTCGAGAATGGCTGAACTGATTTTCATATTTGTCATATTTTTGGCATATTTTCATTTTGAATTAAACATTTGGTAATATTCCTACAGCTAACAAAACTAAGTAGTTGGGATATCGGGATATCATATACAGATCGCATTTATGGCCCGATCCTTACGAAATTTTGCATGGGGATAAGATGAGTGTCAGAATAGGAGCCTACTCTTTTTGGAGGTGATCGCCATATATTTAGGGGTTGAAATGGACCAAAAAACTGCAAAATTGTCGGCAGGTCGTAATTATCGCCCGATCCTCACGCACATTTTAATGGTGGTTACCGGACATTGCAAAAGCTAAGCAGTTTTGGTAGCCATCCAAAAATATTCAATGTGTAAAATAGTTTGCCAACTTTTGTAGACAAAATACGAAAATGTCCATTCCAGAGACTTTTTGGAGAATTCACAAATACAGGAAAGACGCACTTCTGACTATTTCGTTGAAGAATATAGTCAAATGTTTGTATCTCATATAGATGCGTTTTAGTCAAAAACCAATAATAAATGTTAATCTTTTACCGCTTCTGAGAGATTATAGGTCTTTGGGAAATATTGGTTCCAGATCTAGGAAGACCATTTAAGTGCAACATCTACCAATAAATTGGAAATGAGCAAATTAGTTTAAGTTGTTATTTTTCGAAAATTAGAGAACGAAACCTGATGGTTTTCTTTAATTATTTGTCTCAATATCTTGTGGAATTCTGTCGAGTACTTCGCCTATATAATCTGTAGGGTTTATTATAGTGTTGTAGGGTATTCAACGGTCGGCCCCGCTCGACTGTAGCCTTTGCTTACTTGTTTCAATATTCAATTTCGTTGAAAAATTTTGCACTAGATTTTAAGAAGTTAGCTTCACCGAATACATTTTTTGAATGAAATAAAGTTTGATAAAAAAAAATCCCCAGTTGGGGTCCCAAATGATGGCTCTAAAACCCCAGAAGGGGAAGCTTTGTGTTTTTGTTTTGTTTTTAAGAATATCTCAAGTCTCTCCCTTCAGAAGGTATCTATGGGAGGTTTGAAGATTCTTAAGAATTTTCAAGGACCATCAGACCAATAAACGTGGATTTTTTAAAGAATTTTTGCCAAGGACCTTCAGACCTATAAAAGTGGATTTAAAAAAAAAATCCAAGGACCAACAGTCCAGCAAACGTGGATTTTTTAAAGAATTTTTTTAAGGACCTTCAGACCAATAAACGTGGATTTTTTAAATAATTTTTGCCAAGGACCTTCAGACCAATAAACGTGGATTTTTTAAAGAATTTTTGCCAAGGACCTTCAGACCAATTAACGTGGATTTTTTAAAGAATTTTTGCCAAGGACCTTCAGACCAATAAACTTGGATTTTTTCAAGAATTTTTGCCAAGGACCTTCAGACCAATAAACTTGGATTTTTTAAAGAATTTTTGCCAAGGACCTTCAGACCAATAAACGTGGATTTTTTAAAGAGTTTTTGCCAAGGACCTTCAGACCTATAAACCTGGATTTTTTAAAGAATTTTTACTAAGGACCTTCAGACAAATGAACGTGGATTTTTTAACGAATTTTTCTCAAGGACCATTAGATCAATAAACGTGGATTTTTTAAAGAATTTTTTTCAAGGACCATCAGACCAATAAACGTGGATTTTTTAAAGAATCTTTTCCAAGGACCGCAAGACCAATAAACGTGGATTTTTTAAAGAATTTTTTCCAAGGACCTTCAGACCAATAAACTTGGATTTTTTAAAGAATTTTTTCCAACGACCTTCAGACCAATAAACGTGGATTTTTTAAAGAATTTTTTTCAAAGGCCATCAGACCAATAAACTTGGATTTTTTAAAGATTCTTTTTCAAGGACCTTCAGCCCAATAAACGTGAATTTTTTAAGAATTTTTTCCAAGGACCTTCAGACCAATAAACGTGGATTTTTAGAAGAATTTTTTCCAAGGACCTTCAGACCAATAAGCGTGGATTTTTTAAAGAATTTTTTCCAAGGACCTTCAGACCTATAAACGTGGATTTTTTAAATAATTTTTGCTAAGGACCTTCAGACCAATAAACGTGGATTTTTTAAAGAATTTTTTCCAAGGACCTTCAGACCAATAAACGTTGATTTTTTAAAGAATTTCTTTCAAGGACAATCAGACCAATAAACGCGGATTTTTTAAAGAATTTTTTTCAAGGACCTTCAGACCAGTAAACGTGGATTTTTAAAGAATTATTGCCAAGGACCTTCAGACCACTAAACGTGGATTTTTTAAAGAATTTTTTTCAAGGACCTTCAGACCAATAAACGTGGATTTTTAAAGAATTATTGCCAAGGACCTTCACACCAGTAAACGTGGATTTTTTAAAGAATTTTTGCCAAGGACCTTCAGACCAATAAACGTGGATTTTTTAAAGATTTTTTTCCAAGGACCTTAAGACTAATAAACGTGGATTTTTTAAAGAATTTTTTTCAAGGACCATCAGACCAATAAACCTGGATTTTTTAAAATTTTTTTTTTTCAAGGACCATCAGACCAATAAACGTGGATTTTTTAAAGAATTTTTTTCAAGGACCATCAGACCAATAAACGTGGATTTTTTAAATAATTTTTCCCAAGGATCAAAAGACCAATAAACGTGGATTTTTTAAATAATTTTTCCCAAGGATCAAAAGACCAATAAACGTGGATTTTTTAAATAATTTTTCCCAAGGATCAAAAGACCAATAAACGTGGATTTTTTAAATAATTTTTCCCAAGGATCAAAAGACCAATAAACGTGGATTTTTTAAATAATTTTTCCCAAGGATCAAAAGACCAATAAACGTGGATTTTTTTAAGATTTTTTTCCAAGGATCTTTAGACCAATAAACGTGGATTTTTTTAAGATTTTTTTCCAAGGATCTTTAGACCAATAAACGTGGATTTTTTAAAGAATTTTTTCCAAGGACCTTCAGGACCATCAGACCAATAAAATATTTATTTCAAATCCATTCATATTAAACCTCCTGAACTTATGCTTCATTTTCAATAACAAAATTCATCAACAGCATTGTTAGCGAGTAAATCGTCTTGGTCACCTGCAGACCCGTATTCATAGACAGCGGAATTACCGATCCAACGCTTAGGCCCTTGGTATTCTGGGTCATTATTAGCATGATGTTTAACATTTTCTTCTCACGGATGGTGAGGTCATACCAGCGGACATCATTGTAGCAGGCATGTATAAAATCATCGTTCTGTTCGGAAAAATTAAAATATTATTGTTTACCTCAAATCGGTTTTTGCTTAGTATGGCTATACTCACTGTCTTTTGGACCAGGGTTCCCATGACACAAAAAACCTGCATCATGACAAAGCAGTAGAGCATATAAATATATCCAGCTGGCCAGGATCCCAACATTATGCAGAATAGGGCACCAACAATGCCGATTATGCAGGTGCCAACCTTGGCAAATACACTCCAATAGCTGGCCTCCCGGCTGACCTTGAGAAATCTGGGAGGGATATTTTGAAACATTATTGTAGAACAGGAAGTTGACATTCCTTCAACTCACATTAAATATTTCTGATGAAATTCCAAAATATCCTTCAAAGCTGCCATGGTTTTTATGCCCCTCTCCTCCGCCGACTCATAGTCGTCATCCAGCAGCTGATTGATTTCACGAAATTTACACTGCAATATTCCCTGGAAGGTGGGAATTTGGGAAATTGGAGTCAATACCGACATATCGCCCGAATACAAACCAAAACCCCCGACAGCAATGAATCCTGCCTGTATAAAATTGGTGGCCCAAAAACCCACAGGGGTTGCAACATCGAGACCCGGAGCAAAGGCATAGACAATTGTCGCCTTGGTTCCATAAATGAAATTGTACAAAAATGTAAATGAACTCATGCCGAAGACCAGCATGGCATTTATAAAGGCACTCAACTTCATCAGTTTGGCCAGCAAACGCACTCCCCTGTCCAGGTATACACGATAATCAGAGTCCATACGTTCATACTTCTCGTAGATGTCATAACATTCGGTCAGAAGGAAACGTAGATTTTCCTGTTCTTTGATGAAGGTTAGAAAAACACAGAAACCCTACAAGGACTCAAAAAAAAAATAAATATCCATAAATTCCCCCCCCCCCCCCCCCCTAAAAATTGACTCACCTGCAACAAAGTTCCACCCGCCAATGCCAACACCTGGACAATAATGGTCCAATCCCCCTCCTTGGCATAGCCATCGATCATAGTGTAGGCAAGGAAGGCAAACGAACTTCCAATGACAGTCAACACGAATGCGGTACGAATATTGACTCGATAATTCGCATCGAAAACATCAGCTCCACAGACATTGGCACAAAATCGGGTAATGCGTACAATATTTACAAACCGTTCGGAATGTAGCATTGCCATGATGTCAAAGAGGCGGCCTGATGATGAGTACTGCCGGCTAACGCTGAAGGGCTGTTACACTGGAAAAATATAGGCGCAGGATAATTTGAGGTGTAGGCATAGAAAATTACTTACTACGGGTTGTCATGGTTGCAGTGGAAATTTTTTTATAATTGTCCAGGATATGCGACAAAAATCGACAGAAACTTCGCTATGTTAACTTTATGAAAAATGCAGAAAAAAATGTTTCAAAAAGGTTCTAAAAACTCCTTAGGAAGGCTTGGAAAATCCACGTTCAAGACTCCTAAGAAAGACACTAAAAATGGATTTTTTAAAGAAAATTTCCAAGTACCTTCAGATATGGGACTTTTCGAGAATTTTTTTCGAAGTACCATCAGACCATTATGGTCTTTTGGATTTTTTAAAGAATTTTTTGCAAGGACCTTCAGACCAATAAACGTGGTTTTTTTAAAGAATTTTTTCCAAGGACCTTCACACCAATAACGTGGATTTTTTAAAGAATTTTTTCCAAGGACCTTCAAACCAATAAACGTGGATTTTTTAAAGAATTTTTTCCAAGGGTCAGCGGAACAATAAACGTGGATATTTTAAAGAATTTTTTCCAAGGGTCAGCGGAACAATAAACGTGGATTTTTTAAAGAATTTTTTCCAAGGGTCAGCGGAACAATAAACGTGGATTTTTTAAAGAATTTTTTCCAAGGGTCAGCGGAACAATAAACGTGGATTTTTTAAAGAATTTTTTCCAAGGGTCAGCGGAACAATAAACGTGGATTTTTTAAAGAATTTTTTCCAAGGGTCAGCGGAACAATAAACGTGGATTTTTTAAAGAATTTTTTCCAAGGGTCAGCGGAACAAGAAACGTGGATTTTTTAAAGAATTTTTTCCAAGGGTCAGCGGAACAATAAACTTGGATTTTTTAAAGAATTTTTTCCAAGGGTCAGCGGAACAATAAACGTGGATTTTTTAAAGAATTTTTTCCAAGGGTCAGCGGAACAATAAACGTGGATTTTTTAAAGAATTTTTTCCAAGGACCAATAAACGTGGATTTTTTAAAGAATTTTTTTCCAAGGACTTTCAGACCAATAAACACGGATTTTTTAAAGAATTTTTTTCCAAGGACTTTCAGACCAATAAACACGGATTTTTTAAAGAATTTTTTCCAATGACTCCAAGAGCAGTAAACGTGGATTTTGTTAAAGAATTTTTCTCAAGCACCAACAGACCAATAACCGTGGATTTTTTAAAGAAATTTTTTCCAAGGACCTTCAGAGCCATTAACGTGGATTTTTTAAAGATTTTTTTCCAAGGACTTTCAGAGCAAAAAACGTGGATTTTTTAAAGAATTTCTTTCAAGGACCATCAGACCAATAATCGTGGATTTTTTAAAGAATTTTTGCCAAGGACCTTCAGACTAATAAACGTGGATTTTTTAAGAATTTTTTCCAAGGACCTTCAGACCAATAAACGTGAATTTCTTAAAGAATTTTTTCCAAGGACCTTCAGACCAATAAACGTGGATTTTTTTAAAGAATTTTTCCAAGGACCTTCAGGCCAATAAACGTGGATTTTTTAAAGAATTTTTGCCAAGGACCTTCAGACCAATAAACGTGGATTTTTTAAAGAATTTTTTCCAGGGATCTTTAGACCCATAAACGTGGATTTTTTAAAGAATATTTTCCAAGGATCTTTAGACCCATAAACGTGGATTTTTTAAAGAATTTTTTCCAGGGATCTTTAGACCCATAAACGTGGATTTTTTAAAGAATATTTTCCAAGGATCTTTAGACCCATAAACGTGGATTTTTTAAAGAATTTTTTTCAAGGACCTTCAGACCAATAAACGCGGATTTTTTAAAGAATTTTTTCCAAGGACCTTCAGACCAATAAACGTGGATTTTTTAAAAAATTTTTTTCCAAGGACCTTTAGACCAATAAACGTGGATTTTTTAAAGAATTTTTTTCCAAGGACTTTCAGACCAATAAACTTGGATTTTTTAAAGAATTTTTTTTCTACGGACTTTCAGACCAATAAACGTGGATTTTTTAAAGAATTTTTCACATGGACCATCAGACCAATAAATCTGGATTTTTTAAAGAATTTTTCACATGGACCATCAGACCAATAAACGTGGATTTTTTAAAGAATTTTTCACATGGACCATCAGACCAATAAATCTGGATTTTTTAAAGAATTTTTCACATGGACCATCAGACCAATAAACGTGGATTTTTTAAAGAATTTCTTTTCAAGGACCATGAGACCAATAAACGTGGATTTTTATAGAATTTTTTAAGGGCCATGAGATCAATAAACGTGGATTTTTAAAGAATTTTTTAAGAACCATGAGACCAATAAACTTGGATTTTTAAAGAAATTTTTGCCAAGGACCTTCACTCCAATATTCGTATATTTTTTAAAGAATTTTTGCCAAGGACCTTCACTCCAATATTCGTGTATTTTTTAAAGAATTTTTTCCAAGGGCCTTCAGGCTAATAAACGTGGATTTTTTAAGGAATTTTTGCCAAGGACCTTCAGGGCAATAAACGTGGATTTTTTTAGATTATAAAGATATCAGACCAATAAACCTGATTTTTTAAGGAATCTTTTCAAAGGACCATCGTAGCAATAGGTTTGGAAATTTTAGGGTCACCATTTTCTTTTCTTTATTTCCAAATTTCTAAATTTAACAACCTTTCCTAACGCCCAGCCCCGAGTAAGGACCATTCAACAACTTTTGAATTTAATCTCAGTAAAATTAAACAAAAGATAAATAAAATTCCCTAAACAATGTAACAGCAAGATGACAATTTCATGGTTAAAGCATCATAAAAATTACAAGGACATGCATTGATCAGGATGCGTGAATGTTTGATGACAAATGCGACAATTTTTTGCACACAGCTGCAAAATTTCCTACCTTTTGGTAAATTGTTGGTGTTCGAACTTCACACATAAGTGTTGGTACTCTAAACTGAAGGACTCTTGAACACTTGCGTCAAGGAATTGTTCCCAAAGGACCAACTCATGTACGGATCACCCACAAAGCATGAAAGAATGGAAAAAACAAAATGTCTACCTACCCTCCATTCATTGTCCAGTTGTTTCGATTTTCAACAATGAATTACCTGAATGAATACCGTCTTGGCCAGATTTGTTACGCTCAACGCTCACACAATGGCCTGCAATTCAATGGTCATGTTGGGCAATTGAAAACAACTTCAAATGACGAGGACCTACTCAAAACTATTTAAATCCCCATGGAAATGTTAGATGTTAGATTTTAATGAAAGGAAATGGAATTGCATTGAAAGTCGTTGAAGTGAATCTCCTCAGCGGGATCACACTTGGCCTTTATCTCCAATGTGGGCCATTGTCAAGGGAGAAAATTTCGAAAATTGAAAACCTATTCAATTCGTTTGCCAATGAATGCCGGACAACAGCCAGCAATTTCTAGCCCCTTTCCCAAATGAATTGCGCTTGAATAACCATGCAGGATATTTTAGTGGATTTTGAATGGAAAGGATCTTGGCTGAATGACTGCCATTGACAATAGCTACGCCAAAGCAGGAAATGACTTGAATGCATTTCAATGTTGCGGCATTCCATTTTCAAAAAAGGACTTTTATTACCATGAAAACCCAATTGTTTGCCATCCAAAGTTCCAGATAATCAATTGCATGATTGTTCATTTTTAAGCCAGCATAACGAATTTGGAAATTTGAATTGTTTTTTTTTTTTTTGGATTTTTCGCTGGAAAACAGGAAATGCATTTGAAAGCGATTCCCGCATATTTCGATGTTCATTTCAAGTGACACTTCATGGTTGAAGTGTATCGAAGGGCAATCTGTGTAACTTGTTATTGTCCATCCTTGCTGGCAAAACAATTAACAGGATATGCGTTTTGATTTTTTTCTAGGATGCCGTAATAAATCAAGTGACAAATAGCAGAGACCACCAGGGTAAGGTAAACACTGAACGTATTTTTTGAAATTATTTTTAAGAATTTTATTCCGAGACCAACTGGACTTTCACGCTTTGATTTTTCAGTTGGCCTATTAATAAATCAGGATTTTCAAAAAAAAAATCTGCAAGAAATTTTCGAAGTTGATCTTTAAAAAAAATCTTTCTCAGTAACAAATAATCATAATTTTTTGAAGGACCATTATTTTAGAGACCTTTGCAACAATAATCGTATTTTTTAGATTTTTTTCTTTTCCAAATTATGTGCATTTTTAATGGATATTTTTCAAAGGATGAATTAGTGGTTATTTTAAAATTATTTTAGCCAATGACTTTTCATTAAGGGTCAAATAAGTGAGTTATTTAACAAAATTATTAAAAATATTTTTCTATAGATCATTAAAAATAATAATTTTTTGAAAAAAAAAAATATTTTTTAATGCGAATTTGAAAAAAAAAATTCAAAAATTTTATGATTTTTAATACAAGATTTTTTCAAGGAACAAAAACTTAGATTTAAATTTAAAATAAAATATAAATTCAAAACATATTTCTTTTAAAAAAACAGAAATTCTTCCAAGGACAAGAAACATGCAAGGACCATTACATCAATAAACGTGATTATTCTAAAGAATTATTGTGAAGGGCAAATATCATAATTTAATCAGGATTTTCACAAAATATATTTTCAAAAAAAAAAAAAAGTACATGAATAATAATTGCATTTTTCTAAAACAATTTATTCTCATGGATTATCAAAGCTGTCAGACGTCAAATTCTTGAAAGAAAAACTTTTCGGGATTTCTTTATATAATATTTTTCAAAGGGCCGCACGCCCGAAAGGTTGATTTTTAAAAAATAATATTTTTTTTTCAAAAACCCCAATAAAGTTTTTTTTTTTTAATATTTTTTTCACGATTTAAACCAGGATTTTTTAAAGAATTTTACTAACGATCGCCAGAGCCAGCAAACGTGGATTTTTATATTTTTTGAGATTTTTTTTCCGTTGATATTTAGTTAGTTTACACTCTATAAAGTTTTTTTTTAATGATCCCCAGAGTTATCGAATGTAGATTTATATTCTCATGGGGATTTTTTTTTCGGGGATAGTTAGTTTGGATATTTTAGTACCTTTTTTATCCAAAACTTGGACTTTTATAAAAATATATATTTCAAGGACAAAAACGTAGATTTATGAGATTATTTTTTCCACAAAATCCATAGGCAAAAATTGAATTTAAAAAATATGGACTAAAACGTGGACATTTATAAAAAGTAATAATGGAAAATATGTACTAAAAAAAACAAGTAAAAAAGCTGTACGTTAAGCCGGGTCGAACTTCGAATACCCTCCACCATTTGGAACTAATTTGGCAATTTAAAAACAATAATAATAAAATCCCTTAAAAATTCTGTTAAAATCTTAAAAATACCGAATATAGCCGTTATATTAGGGTCTATACCTCATAAGCCATTACAATATTCAAACGCAAAACTTGAAAAAAACAAACGGCTAAAATTATCAAAATACCGAATATAGGGAGGTACCATGGGGGCTATACCAAAACGTGGACCTGCAAAGACAAATTTTCTGTCTTAGGCTGTAGTATCCATTACGAAATTCAAATACCAAATTTTAAACAATTCATTACAAACTTCAAATACTAAATTTGAAATAGTTCCGGTAAATAATATCTCTAAAATCATCAAAATACCTCATATCAGGATGTACCGTTATATGGCTATACGAAGACGTAGACCTACATGGCCCATTTTCAATACCAAAAGTCCTGCAGACATAATACACATTTCAGTGAAATTGTATCAACCTACATCATTTCGTTCCGAAGCTAGAGTGATTTCCACAGACGGATAGACGGACGAACGGATAGACGGACAGACGGACGGACAGGCATTGCTAAATCGACATAGACTTTTATGCTGATCAAGAATATATATACTTTGTGGGGTCTAAAATGTACATTTCGAGGTGTTACAAACGGAATGACAAACTTAATATACCCTCCATACTATGGTGGAAGGTATAGAAAATTTCCCAGGACAAATATTAAAAATATTTTTTAAAATTAAATTTTTCAAAATTATCAAAACAATATTCGTGGTATGTAATTTATTAAAATTTATTTAAATTTTGCTAAGAACCTACGGAGCCATTACAGGTGGAATTTTTAAAGAATATTTTTTCCAAGGACACAAATTTTAAAAATATTTTTTAATGGATGTCAAACGAATATTTTTGGATTTTTCACACCTTTTTTTTTTTTCAAGGACAATCAGACTAATGAACATTAGTTTTTTTAAGAATGTTCTCAAGGGCCATCAGACCTATAAAGGTGGATTTTTTAAAGATTTTTTTTCAAGAACAATCAGACCTATAGACCTGAAATTATTTATTTTTTTTTATTTCAAGGATTTAAAAAAAATTCAGAGACCATCAGGCCAATAAACGTGTATTTTTAAAGAATTTTTTTCAAGGACCATCAGACCAATAATCGTGGATTTTTAAAGAATTTTTTTTTTAATGACCAATAAACATGGATTTTTAAAAATTTTTTTTCAAAGACCATCAGGCCAATAAACGAGGATTTTGTAAAGAATTTTTTTTAAGAACTATTAAACCAAAAAACGTGGATTTTAGGAACAAAAAGATAAATATTTAATATAAAATATTAAATATAAAAATAAAATATATTCTCAAGGATACTTTTTCAAGGACTCAAATATGTTATATAAGAAAATATTATTTCCCAAGTCTTAAATTTTAATAAAAAAGGAATATTTTTTCAAAGACACAATACTAGACTATTATAAAATAAGTTTTTAAATGTCATTTGAAACAGTTTTTTCCCATAACCAGTCGGACTTTAAAACTTTTATTTTTATAGGAAAACATATTTTCAAGGACTAAACCGTGGATATTTTTAAATATATTTTTTCACCAAACAAATCGAAGAATTTTTGAAAACACATTTCTTCAAGAGCTAAAAAGTGGATTTTTGTTACAAATATTTTTCCAAAGAACAAATCGTGGAATTTTTAAAAATTGGATTTTTTATTGTTCAAAGACCAAAGTCCAAGATTCGTAGCCTTTTTTCAAGAACCTTTAAAATAATTAATGTTATATTTTTTACGAATCAATTAACAAAGGATTTTATCGGATTTTTTGTCAAAGATCGTGAATTCAATAACCGCATTATTTTTGACAATTTTCGAAGGACCCTTAGACAAATATTTTTGTATTTAATGGTCTTTTTTAAAGGAACAGCATCGGGTAAATATTTTTTAAAGCCACCACACAGGCATATTTGAATTTGTTTTAAAGAATTTTTTTGTAAAATTATATTTATGACATTAAAAATCAAATCAGTGAAACAATCAACTTTACAACTGAAATAATTAAAATTTGTTTTCAAAGTCTCGTCACGACTTTTTAATCAATTTTAGTTTTGAAAATGTTCTTCGAAATTATTATAATGGGTCGGAGTCACGATTTTTTCAAATATTTCTTCAATAAATACAGCTGAAGAGGTGTTAGTATCTCACAGTATAGTCATGTATTCCCAGCTTGCCGAAAGTATACCAAATTTTAGGGTAAGTATTTTGAAATAAAATTTTACAATTCTAAATTTTATTTAATATTAAATATTTATTTTCTTTACATAGATCAACGCTGCCTGGTTGCTGTTGATATTTGCCTTTGTTCTGCCATTTTTGCCCATTCCGTTTTTACCGCCAACAGGAAATTTCTTTGATACGGCCTCGGGAGCAGCCCAGGATGCCTTAGATGGTTTCCTTGAGGGCATGGACTCAAAGTGATTGTTTTCTTTTGAAAGAGTCAAATGATGGAAATAGAATGATGAAATAAATGATTTATAACGTACATGAACTTTTGATTATTGAAAAAAATGTGGTAAATTTATAAACCTCCTGTGAAGAATAGAAAGCCTCCATTTCTATCCAAAACGTAGATTTTTGGATTTTTTACAATTTCTTAAGGCCTTACAGCGATTTTAATTTTAAACAACATTTAAGGCCTTAAAGCCATTTAAAAACTGGCTTCCAATGGGAATTTTTAAGCAAATTTTGAATCCTTCTATTTTTCGAAGAATTAAATATGGACCCAAACCCTGAATTTTCAGAGATTTTTAAAGCCTCTTTGTATGACCTATATTTTCAAAAAGTATTTCTCAGGCCTTTTCGAAAGATTTACAAAGTGCACTATTGAAAGAATTTGTATAGCCTTTTTGATGGATCCACAATGCGGTATTTTTCCAAAAAAAAAAAAAAAATTCAAAAATTTTAAAGAACTTTTTACACCCTCTATCATAGTATGGGGGATATTAAGTTTGTCATTCCGCTTGTAACTCCTCGAAATATACATTTTAGACCCCAAAAATTATATATATTCTTGATCAGCATAAAATTCTATTTAGCGATGTCCGTCTGTGGAAATTACTCTTGCTTCCGAACCAATTGAAGTAGGTTGATAAAATTTTGCTCAAATGTGTGTTTGGTCTACAGGACTTTTGGTATTCAAAATGGGCTATATAGGTCCGCGTTTAGGTATAGCCCCCATATAACTGTAACTCCCTACATACGGTATTTTGATGATTTTAACGACATTGTTCATAAGAATTGTTTCAAATTTCGTATTTAAAGTTCGCAATTGATACTGCAGCCTAAGACAGAAAATTGTCTGTTCAGGTACACGTCTTCTTAAAGCTTCCATATATCGGTTCCTCCCTATTTTCAGTAATTTGGCTGTTTTAGGTACTGTGTTTACCAGAATTGTTTTAAATTTTGTACTTGAAATTCTTATGCGGTATTACAGCCTCTGACAGAAAATTGTCTATGCAGGTCCAGGTCTACGCATAGCCCCCATTCATCGGTACCTCCCGATATTCTGTATTTTGACGAATTTAGCGACATTGTTTCAAATTTCACATTTAAAGTTCGTAACGGAAATTATTTTTCGTAACGAAAAAATTGTCTGTGCAGATCCAGGTTTTCGTTTAGCCCCCATATATCGGCCCCTCCCTATTTTCGGTATTTTAATGATTTTAGCGACATTATTTACCGGAATTGTTTTAAATTTCGCATTTAAAGTTCGTAATGGATACTATAGCCTATGACAGAAAATTGTCTGTTCAGGTACACGTCTTCTTATAGCTCCCATATATCGGTTCCTCCCTATTTTCAGTAATTTGGCTGTTTTAGGTACTGTGTTTACCAGAATTGTTTTAAATTTTGTACTTGAAATTCTTAAGCGGTATTACAGCCTTTGACAGAAAATTGTCTATGCAGGTCCAGGTCTACGCATAGCCCCCATACATCGGTACCTCCCGATATTCGGTATTTTGATGATTTTAGCAACATTATTCACCGGAATTTTTCCAAATTTGGTATTTGAAGCTCGCAATGGAAATTACAGCCTACTCCAGACAATTGTCTGTGCGGGCCCAGGTCTTCGTATAGGCCCTATATAACGGTACCTCTCTATACACGGTATTTTGATGATTTTAGCGACATGGTCTACCGGAATTGTTTCAAATTTCGCATTTGAAATTCGCAATGGATTCTACAGCCTATGAAAAAATTGTCTGTGCAAGTCTACGTCTTCGTATAGCCCCCATATAACGGTACCTCCCGACATTCGTAATTTTGATGATTTTAGATACAATATTCACCGAAATTTTTTAAAATTTCGTACTTGAAATTCCTAAGGGGTACTGCAGCCTGTGACAGAAAATTGTCTGTGCAGGTCCAGGTCTTCGTATAGCCCCTATATAACGGAACCTCTCAATATTCGGTACTTTGTTGATTTTAGCGACATTATTTACCGGAATTATTTCAAATTTTGTATTTGAAATTTGTAATGGATGCTACAGCCTATGACAGAAAATTGTCAGTGCAGGTTCAGGTCTTCGTATAGCCCCCATACATCGGTACCTCCCTATATTCGGCATTTTTATGATTTTACCGACATTATTCTCCCGAATTGTTTCAAATTTCGTATTTGAAGTTTCTAATGGATACTACATTCCATGACAGAAAATTGTCTGTGCAAGTCCCGGTCTTCGTATAGGCCCCATATAACAGTACCTCCCAATATTCGGTACTTTGTTGATTTTAGCGATATTATTCACCGGAATTATTTCAAATTTTGTATTTGAAATTTGTAATGGATGCTACAGCCTGTGTCATAAAATTGTCTGTGCAGGTACACGTATTGTACCTCCCTATATTCGGCATTTCATTTATTTTAGCTACATTATAAACATATTTTTTTCAAGTTCCGCATTTGAATATTGAATAGCTTATGACAAAAGTTACCTATGCAGGTCCACGTCATCGTATAGACCCTGATATACGGCTACATTCGGTATTTTTAAGGTTTTAACAGAGTTTTTAACGGATCTTATTTTTTGTAAAATTGCCAAAGTTGTACCAAATGGTGGAGGATATTAAAAGTTCGGTCCTTGTTTTTTTTTTCAAGTTTCTTATGACAAAAATTTCCTGTGCAGGTCCACGTCTTCGTATAGACCCAATATAACGGCAACTCCCAATATTCGGTATTTTTAAGGATTTTATTAATTAATTATTAATTTATTTAATTTTTAATTTTTATACCCTCCACCTTGGAATGGAGGGTATATTAACTTTGTCATTCCGTTTGTAACATCCTTAAATATTCGTCGTAGACCCCATAAAGTATATATATTCATAATCAGCATAAAATTCTAAGTCGATTTAACGATGTCCGTCTGTCTGTCTGTTTGTCCGTCTGTCCGTCTGTCTGTCCGTCTGTCTGTTGAAATCACGATACAGCCCACATTATTTGACGTAGAGCGCCAAAATTTAGCAGAGCAATTGATATTGTGTCTAGGATGGTTGGTATTGAAAGTGAGATATATCGGTCCACGTTCTGGTATAGTCCCCATATAACGGTACCTCCCGATATTCGGTATTTTGATGATTTATGCCACATTTTTTCACTGATTTGTTTGAAAATTGGTATTTGTAGGTTATAGCGGGTCCCTGTACGTGTGGCAAAATATTGCATTTATAGGTCCACGTTGTGGTATAGCCCCCATATAAAGGTACCTCCCGATATTCGGTATTTTAATGGTTTTCTGCCACATTTTTTCACTGATTTGTCTAAAAATTGGTATTTGTTGGTCATAATGGGTCCTAGTTCGTGTGGCGAAACATTGTGTGTATAGGTCCACGTTTTGGTATAGCCCCCATTTAGCGGTACCTCCCAATATTCGACAATTAAATGATTTTTGCCACATTTTTTCACATATTTATCTGAAAATTGGTATTTGTAGATCATAATGGGTTCTAGCTTCGTTGGCGAAACATTGCATGTGTAGGTCCACGATTAGGTATAGCCCTCATATAACGATACCTCCTGATATTCGGCATTTTAATGGTTTTTGCCACATTTCTTCTAATGTTTCCTTTACCCTAAGATGGAGGGTATTAAAAGTTTGGCCCTGCCGAACTTATTTTTTTTTTTACTTATTTAATTTTTTTAATTTAATTTATTTTAATTTAATTTAATTTCATTATTTTTAATTTTATTGATTAATTATTAATTTTTAATGGATTTTATTTATTTATTTATTTTATTTTTTTGAGAATTTCAAATTTGCTCCAAACGCTAGAGGGCCCGCCCAAACCTACTGCTTTTTTACTTGTTTTAAAGTATTTTCTGTTTTTTTTTTTTAAAAAAAGAATTTCGTAAAGCCTCTTTAAAGGACCTACAATTTGAAGGAGTTTTATTTCTCTTTTTTGTCACTTCACCATCTTCCACCATTTGTCATTTGACATAAATTGCCCCTAATCACCTTCATTTTCTGTCTCGAAAAAATTTACAAATTGTAATTTAATATTCCTCGGGATTCTCTGCTTTGCATAGCAGTCATCAAGAATCGAAACAATTTTTTCAGCAATTAGTTGACGCGCCATGATCTGATAAAATCATCCCTTGGCAGGATAAAAGCCACAGCGACAGACAGATCCTATCAAATTCATTGATCAAATTTCAACACAAATCATTACCGAATTAGTTCTCAACCAAAAAAAAAGGAAAATATCCTGCCATCACTTGAAACTTAACTTGAATGTGGAGAGATTTCAAGTAGTCTGGCTCCGGCTGAGCCTTTGTCTGGCCACTTTAAATGACTGTCTGCTGGCCAGTAAAAGTGGCAACAAATCAAGATTGTCTGGCGTTGCTCTGTCGCCTTAAATTGCAGGAAAATAAGTCCCATCAGATTGTCTGTCATCGATTGGGTGTTGTTGTGTGATATTTATGTGTCCTTGTTGTACAACAAAATCTAAACATTGTGATTAGGGATAAGTCTATGCGGGTACACTTTGTTTTTGTACTGTCTGCCAATGTAAATATTTATTAAGGATCTCGAGGGCAGGTAGAGAGCCATGGAAATGTTGATTCTCTCTTGTTGTGTTATTTTGTGTTTATCAAGGATCAGTGATTTTTTTCTCCAACGGTTTCGAATGATAACAAGTGTCAATGAAACGAATGTCTCTCGCTCTCTCCCTCCCTTGGCTGTGTTAAATGTCAATAGAATACTTACAGCCAAAAAAACATCCTCCCTTGGGATGAGGGCTTCAAATCTGATCCCTAAGACATTGGTGTTTTTGTACGTGTCATAGAGAGAAACGTGTTGGATTAGGGAGAATCTTGTCTTAAGGGAATTTGATTTTCTCCCATAAGTTATCAAAAAGTTACACTTGTTTTGATTAGATATTATTTTTTTGGTGCCGAACGTGTCCTAACTAGAAGGTAATCATGTGTTTTTATTGGAAACAGATTTGATATGGTTTTGATATGGATGATGATACGGCCTTATT